GATTAGGGACTCATAGCCGAGGGAATGCAGATTCAACGAAGGCTCCCGGGCCCGAAGACCAGACATCATCAGGCTTATTGTAAAGCATTCTAAACCCTAAATCCTAAACCCTAACCTAAACCCCAAACACCAAACCCTAAACCCCTGAAGCCCTAAACCCCTACGCCTGAAACCCTAAACCCTAAATTAGCCCTAAACCCCTAAACACAAGGCATGGGCCCTTGATGACGAATCCTGAGACCGGCTTGAGACACCATCCCAGAGAACCGACCACCGCTTTACTTAAGGAATAAGCCTTAAATCATAATCTTAAGGCCCCTAGCATTTAAGGTCTATTCCTTACTTAAGGTGCAAATTGGGTTCTCTGGGAAACTGACCCTAAACCCTAAACCCCAAAACCCCTAAACCCTGTTGGTACCTTGCCCAGCGCCTGTGTACTTCCCTGTGGCAAGGTTCCCAGAGACCCCGAAACCTCCTTGAGGAATGTACCTTTACGGGTTCCCTCAGGGGCTCCTTAAAGGGATCCATAAGAGAATTCAGGGGATATACTTTAAAGTACAATAGGATATACTTTAAAGTACAATAAGATCCCTAATCCGCTTTGAGGTTTACTCCCTTCATAAAGTGATGTTTTGGAAGGTCTGGGAGGCTCAAGCTGTGCAGCTCTGCTCATTCATAACAGATTCTGTCCGTCACCAAGCGCTCAAGGAACTCTTCTCCGACATCTGCAAGGAGCTTCACAGCATCATCGCTGAACCGAAAGTCGGTTTGCAATCCCCGCTCCTGGGCCAAGCATCGGACGGTAGTGGATATGCTTCCGCTGGAGGGCATACTGCACAGCAACATCAATCTCACTCGGCAAGCAGCCTTTGTGGTGGGAATGTTGCCCAGCCCAACTACTCCTGCGGCTTCAGACTCTTGTTCATCCTGGATGGTGCAAGTTGCGACGTCGGCCACATACTCCGTGTGCACCACGTCTTTGTTCCACCAAGCATCCTTCATGCTCGCCACTCGGCACGTGCCAACTTTTCTGGTAGTGATTGAGTCCCGTCCTCAGGCCCTTGTGTGGCGGCAGCTTCATACAGCTCCAGCCAAACGGGCCCAAGACAGACAGCAGAATCAGATCCGGTAAGCCAGACCTGTTTTCGACTCTACTCTAGTAACTAGTAAACTTGCATCTATGTATGTATGTACATATGTACATATGTATGAATGTATGTATGTATGTATGTATGTATGTATGGGTGTATACACATATATAAATATGTGTATATATATATATATATGGTTTAAATGAATAAGCATGCCAAACACACACAGACACACACACACACACCTACCTAGATAGATAGAAAGATAGCAAAACAAAATAGAAGGATAGTAGATAGATTGGTCGATAGATAGATAGATAGATAGACAGATAGGTACGTAGATAGATAGATAAATAGATAGATAGGCAGACAGACAGATAGGTATGTAGATAGATAGACAGATAGATAGTAGATAGGTAGGTAAATAGATAGGTCGATAGATGTATACATGTTAGGCTATACATATACATATACATATGCATAAACATATACATATACATATACATATACATAAACATATACATAAACATATACATAAACATATACATATACATATACATTTTTTTAGCACTCGCGCTCGACAAGTTAGGCGAGGTTTCGGCGGGAACTAGAACCTAAGTCGGCAGCCACAGCCATTAGACAGGGCCACCAGGATCATTTCGACCCCAAGTTAGCCAGCACATATGTATATATACATATACATATATACATGCATACATACAAATACATCTATATATATATACATAGATGATCATAGATGTATGAAAGGACATCCGTCTTTCTTTCGCCAGGGCTGTGGGCAGGAGTACCATTGGTCTTCTTCAACACAGACAAAGGGAAGGCGGTCAACCCTCCCCCGCGCGCGTACGCGCCCTGTCAGTCTCGGTTCTCGGTAAGACAGCTACAACAGATGCGGGCCTGGTCTCTCGCTCTCTCTCGTCCTCGTTCTCTCGCTTTTTCTCTTTCTCTCCACCCTGGACATCACGGTAGACGTCACGAAGAGCGACTATGTCAGACAGCCCAGGTCGCGACCTGTAGCACTGCCTAAAAACCCTCAGAAAGTTGGCAGGAACAAGCGCGTCCTGCAAGCTGTCCGAGATGTCGCCGCGCCGAAAATCGGGCACCTGCCAATGGCTGCAGCGCGAGGACAGCAAGCTCGCTTGGATTTGTGGGATCCTACTCCGTGCAGTGCATGTTGTCGGGATGGATCTCTCCAGGGCTTCTTATCTGGAATCATCTGAGACTTCCTGCCTGGAGGCGATGCTTCGCCTCGATCCGGGGCTGGGAGGCTGATCTGTCAAGGCCTCGGTTGATCGACATTCCTGCAGTCCTACAGCCTCGATTGTTGCGACGCTGGCGCCGCGCATGCGCGAAAGACAAGCTGGGAGAATGTGAGCGCTTAGGCACGGGGTTTGTAGGTGATGTAAGCTTCATACTTTTGGCTTCAAGTCGAACCCAACAGGAACAGGAAGATGCTCCAAAGGTTTGACGAGAGATGCAGACCCGCGCCGCTCAACTCCCGCAACGCCAGATCTTCTATACAGAATCGGAATCTGTGGCCATTGTCCGTGAGCTAATCCAAAAATGCTTCCTGTGGCTTAAACTGATTATCCTGAGCCTGAGCCCGCAACATGTACACACCATCTACACCGGTACTGCACAAGAACACCCATGAACCCACGCAGACTGCTCCATCTTCTATTGAAAATTGAAAACAGCAACCTGCCGGGATGGAGTCATAACAGCATGCGTCGCATCTCTGCAGGCTTTGGATTGAACGTTTTTCTTTGCACCCCGAAGTGGGAGATGATGGGAGCCGCCATCCTAGCTGCTAGCTTCATCAAGGGATTTACTCGAAACGTTCACGAGCATCCTGCTTTTGCGAAGCACTACCGCTTTTAAGTGTGCTATGCAGCCCCAGTTCGCTTTGCTAACTCGCCCACATACCTCGGGGAACGGTACAGATGCTCAATGTTCAGCTACAGAACACACCCACTGAACTTTCCAAGGCCATGGTCAGCCGGCGGACCGCCCTGACGCCCGGCTATCGCCGGGAGCTTTGGCGGAGCCATGCTGGGGCCTCACCAGGACATCGACTCTTGGGCTTCGAGTCGTTGACTTTGGGCCCGTGGGCAGACCCCGACTGCCCGAAATCTTGGGATTCGGGTGGAGCAACCAAGACCCTGTGCCGCTTGCCTTGATCCGCGCACGCCCCGCGGCCCCGCGTTTCTGTGATTTCTTGCCGAGCCAAGGGAGCACAAGTTACACAAGCTGAAATTCCGCAAGAGCTCAAGAACACCCCGCCTTCCTTGCCCACCCTTGAACTCCGACCTTTGACAACTCCGCTCGAAATTGCCAAAATGCTGCTCCGAAAGCAATGGGTTCGTCGGCATTATAAATATAGCATTGATCTTGGTACAGGCGGAGGGAACATGCCAGCAACTTTCAAGTGACCGGCACGCTGCAAGGCAATTGACTTCAGCGACTGATCCATTTGCCTGCTAGCAGAACAAACCCAAAGCCAAAAAACTCCTGGACGAATCTTTTCTTTGAGCCAGTGTCCGATGGAACTTTTCTGCCATGTTTAGGCGAAGTCCACGCTCGCGGACGGGTCCTTCATGGAACCGATTTTGCTAGCCCCAGCATCCGCCGCACCCTTGGGATCTAAGATTCGAAGGTATTTCTCTTGACAGACCCTTCCTCGAGGCAAGTAAGCTTTGAATCGACATCGCGCCGTGCTGTAATCCCAAAGCCACGTTGAACCACACCAGGATACATCGACTACCAGTCAGCGCAGGTCGTACCTTCGACTGACAATTGTGCAGTAATCTTGGTCTCAACTTTCTAGGGAATACGCGACGAGTTTATCGCGAATATCCACACCAACCCCAACCACATCGAGGCTGATTACAGCTGGCGCTCGAGGTGTCCACTACCCCCTGTGCTTTCAGAGGCTGCTTGCTCATGACACGGGAGAAGTACAAAACGAGGGTGCAAGACAAGCTTTGCTCAAAGTGAGGGCCTGCTCGATGTCTGCCAAGCATGTCTCATTCGTCAAAACCGAGTCTCCATAGCAGACCCGAACTTTGAGCAACCCCCTATCTCCTGCAAGTGAATTGAGCAGCCTTCGACACGTGCTTTCAGCTCAGTTCCTCCGCAACGGCGTGCCAAAAGCTGCATCAGTCAAGTGTGGCCACTGTACGGCGTCTCATCCGTGCATGCACTGTGTTTCGGTAAAGGTCTGTCTCGACATCTGTTGGGAAGCCACTCATTGAAATCTGGAGCAGCTGCCGCCCAGGCTGGCTTGGTCGAGTGGTCTTGTCTGAAATACAAGACACCGCCAAACATCGCACCGCTACAACACCTCATTCTACGCTGGAAGCGTGTCAGCTCTTGCGATGAGACTCGGGTTACCGGAAATGCACTGGGAACCCAACTGCTCAAAACCTGCGAACCGTGGAGCAACGAAGCCAGCAAGTCTGTACAGTGCCGCATCTCCAACTGGACAGCTTCTTACTTCCACTTGCAACCGAGATCTATGCAAAGCTTTCACGGTGGGGAGCTGCTCCGACATCAGGCATGCTTCAACAGGCCAGGCGACAAGCACATCAATCCAATCACTGCAACGTCACGAGCGGCAAAACCCCACGCGAAAGTGATAAAGCAAAACGTTGCTTCTGTCACCACTACGGCTACAACTCGATCAGGCCCTCCACCTCTGCAGGCTCTCGAGTTTGCCTTTCTCCGCTCCAAGGTCTCGTGCCTATCTGCTCCAAAATTATCGTCCAACAGCTAGCCTCAGAACCCTAAACCCTAAACCCCTAAGCCCCTAAACCCCTAACCCCTAAATCCTAAAAGACTGCCTAGGCAGAGGCCCTTAAGGCGACCGAACTCCCACAGCTGTCCTCACTAGCCCTCGCGAGCTGCTTCCTCTTGGGCCTTCCTGGGCTCTTTTTTTTGCGGGTTATCTGAGAGGTGCCCTTTTGGGATCTAAGTCTCTAGAGCCTCTATGGTTTTTTTAACCCTCTCGCATGGCTAAGGGTTTAGGGTTTAGGGTAGACACCAAAGAACTTTCTACAAGGGGGGAAAGGGCCCGTCTTGGCCGCACTGAAGATTCAGAGAACGGGGGAAATCCGCTCTGGGTTTCACCGACAATCACGGACACCAAGATCCCAGTGTCACACTGAACACGTAAACTCCGCCAAGCGGCAAAAATTGACCCATGCTTCCTCGCACCAAGTGATGAGGGCTATCGTAGTAGGAGACCTTGGTCTTCTTCTCCAGCTGCCTGGTCCAGAACTTTGCTCTTTCAATTACTGGACCGAAAATGATCCAGATGCCGGGGGACTACTCTAACCCTACAGTAAAGCTCGTGATAAGCTTGAGATCCATACAGTATCTGGCAGGGCTCCCCGAATCGAGCCAGCTAGATGAAGTGGAGCGACCCCACCGAAAAGATGATGAGGCGCAACATCAGGCACAGCATCTGTGAACTTGGACAATACGGTCGATTGCAACTGCTAAGAAACTCCCGAAGCGAACAGCCTCAAAGATCTCCGAGCACCTTCTGGCGAAAACGCAGGGAGTGAAAAGCTTGCACTTTCCATGGCAGCCAAGTTACTCCTGCAGATTGCTCTTCCTGATGTGGTTGCGCTATATTATGAAACTTGATCCACTGTGGTGGGGGGGGGGGCGATGGCCACGTGCTGCCACGCGCGAGGTTCAGATTGCGTTTCTCGACCCAACAATGCCAAGTTGCTCTTTGAAGTACCAATCCTGTACCTTCTCCTTGGCTCTGTGGGAATGAGGAGCATGGGCTTCCAGCTCTCCGGATGTCTGTCCACGATTTCAACTTGAGATTCAATTTCGCGATTCGGGAGCCGACACAGCTTGCCCGACCTTTTCAATGAGACTGCCATTCCAACGTCGAACATGTATTTACGAAGCCATGCAGCATGCTGTTCAAGAGTTGCTGAGGGCACACCCACATGATATGTCAGCCACTGCAAGCAACCATCTGTACCAACCACGTGGTGCTCCGTAAGTTTTGGCCAAACTTACTAGCGAACTGCGGCCTAGTCTCTGGGAGCATATTGAAAAGCGGCGAATTCTCCTGCCAAGAAACAGATGTCGACATGCATGCTGCAATGCTTTGGCCTTCAGAGCATATGGCTTAGTCTGGTGTATTCCTCCCCCTCTGCAAACAACACGGGAAACTCCGACATCCCTCGAACATGAGAGCAATTCCCGAAGCCTTGAAGCCCAGCCCTCGGACCGAGAAGCCTATCTCCCGTCACAAGATCAAGGTTGCGACCAGGTCGTGCAGTTTGCAACGCCGTCCTCAGGCTCGATCTCTTCATCGGACTTGCTTGGCAGCTCCTCCGCTGACCTCAGCAAGGCAGCTTCACTTCAGTCAGTGAGACCCGAAGGCATCAGCATAAATTCGAGCACATTCGAGCCCCTGCAGATCGCAGAATGCCGACATGTCAGCGTTCAACCTGTGACAGTTACGACAAGCCAGAGATGGCTTCTCGTGGAGTTCCACTAACCGTGAGGGTTGCCTGTTGTCAGAGAGAGTCTCTCTGCAGCATGTTCCCGTGACCTAGACAATAATGCCACACAAATGGGAATCTGCTCTGGCATGCGAAGACAAGCTTCCAGCTTCGGCACTGTCAAGAGTGCAGCTAGTGCTGCGCCACGCACAACGAAAGTTGCAGTTGCACTTGTTCTGCGAGCAATGTTGACAAGGCATCACTTGTGCCTAAGAGCAAGGGACGAAGGCTCACAAAGGAGCTGAAGCAGGGTACGTCTAGAGTCTGAAAAGGAAGCGTGTCGTGCAGCAGAATCACACGCCAACTTTGCATGTGCCGAGCATCGATGCCAGGCAACATCCTCTCCTCCCCTCCCGCTCTCACGATTGCCGCGATCCGAGGCGGCTGCATGGCGACCTTGTGTTTGACGGCCGGTTTCGGGATCACCGCCGGCTCCACCTGAAACGAAGCATGGGAAGCGCCCAATTTTCGGAGCTTGTCTGTTTCAGTGTGTAAAATTACATGGGCTCCTTATCCGCCGCTAAGTCTGGTGAGCCCCGGGGCCCTGGAAGTCCTCAAACACTCACCAGAAAGTTTGGGGAAAGTCTACATCGGATTTTCGGTCGTCTCCCTGCTTGTGGAACACATGCGCTTAATGTCTGTCACCTTCCGCCTTCCGCTTATGACAGTACTCTCAGACTTTCAGCTTTTATGCATGAATTGATGCCTGCTGCCCTCATGATGATGCACGTGTAAACTGGTCGAGGCCTCCTTGGGTTGGCTGGGCATGACGCCAGCGACGTAGAGGACCACCGCTGCGATCGTCACCTGCGGCCATCGCATCCAGCACTTTCGTCATGGCAGGGAAACGTCTGTGCTGCGGCGTTTCGAGGAGGCATGAGACACTGTCGGCTCTACAGAATCTACTACAGTGATTGGGTGTTGGGCTCAAAGCTCCTCTTGGATCACTTCGCTTAGACATCACTACCGCCCCCTCGCTCGAGGCTGCAGTTCTCCGAAGCGAGTGTCGGGCTGATTGAAACAGCTACCAGCATGGGTCGGATATGTACTGCAATAGCAAGCCCCTCTCAAGCAATCGATCAACCGATCACGAACTCGCAGTTGTTGTTCTCGTTGCAGGACCACTTGGACAAGCCGTTGCATTCGAAGGCGCCGAGGAGGTTGAAGTTTGTGTCCACCTCCGCTTTCGCCGACCCAAACACACCAGGAACTCGTCCGAAACTCGTATTCCACTTTGGGACGGCATGGAGGGACCGGAGTCGGTGCGTGGTAGCCAGACTTGGTCTTGCACAGGCCGGGGCCAAATCCGTATCTGGAGTCGTGACGGGGTTGGCTGCCCTGCATCCACTCGCAGTTGCTGTTGTGAAGGCAAGAATAGGCGGACAAGCCGTTGCATTCCATCATCCCAATAAGTTGAAAGGCTTTGCTTGGCACGTCCCACCGTAATCGCTGGCTGACCCCACGTTGCTCTTCTTCCCGCTTTCCTCCGTCAGCGCATGTCCTTCTGGGGTCCGCGAGGCGACCTAGAGCATCTTGACCGCACAGTCCGGAGTGTCGCAAACATCTTGGCTTGGCTTAGACCTTGAGAAACCTCGTCGGCGTACATCCCACAGGCAAGAATCCACAAGACGGAGAGCACGGCGCGAGCTGCCGCCATTTCACTTTATGGCTGGAGTGAGTCTTTTGCCCACTGGCTTGTGCCTACGATCAACTTGAGCCAATATCTCTCGCGCTCGCTTTCTTTCGCACGGGCTGAGGAGGAGGGGGCGACCTTCCCCCTGCGCTCCACGTGCCCCCGCTACGTTATGGTGGCTGCCCAACTGCCAGACAGGAAAAGGCAAAATAGAATCAAGCTTGCGTACATTCACAGGGGGTGCCACTTCAGACAGAAAACTGAAGCTCCCAAAGAGAGGGCATCCGCTGCTGGATTGCGGCAGATTGCTTGCTTGCTTGCTAGGGCTGCTAGGGGTCCGAGGGCCAAAACCCCCTGGCCCGAAGGCCTACCCCAATGGCTCGCATCCTGTTCGGGGGAGGAGTGCCCATTCACCCACATGCAGCTCCTCTCTCTGTCTCTCTTTCTTTCTTTCTGGGCTTACGGGTCGACTACTCAACTCTCAGGCCATAGGCCTGCCCTGTCTGTCTCTTGCTTGCTTGCTTGCTTGCTCGGGGTTTGGGGTTCTGTGTCTCTCTCTCTCTCTCTCTCTGCGCATACCGAAATGACAATGCCAAAAGATCCACATGTCCGTTCATGTGCGAAGATCCCGCCACAACGTAGAGAATGATGTGACTTCGGCGATGTCCGCACCAGCGTGGCTGCCTTGGCAGGTGACGTGTTGCAAAGTCTAGTCTAGAGTTGAAGTGCTTCCAACGCCTTCAACCCCCTCAGGCGCTCACTCCTCCTCCTCCCCGCTGCTTTCGACTGACGGCGACATGGGTGACATCGGCGACATCGGCGACATGGGCGACATGGCAAGTGTGCGAGCAGGTCAGGAAGCGTCTTGACCCTGAGGGCTGCGACTCCGACTCTCCCAAGCCAGGCTTCAAGCCAAAAGGTACGGTGAAGCTGAGCCCGGAGTGTAGGCCGTGTGAAATGGTCCCGTGTGGGCTTGTGGTGTCCTCGCAATGCAACTGAACTAAACACGGGCAGGATCTCAACGATTAGGCAATCGAATTGCGCTTCGAGCGTGCGCACTCTTACTTCCACTCCAGGTAGGACGACGCTCGAGCGCCTAAGCATCCGGAATGTAGAGCCGATTTTGGGAAAAAGGCCACTGCCTGACTACTTCTATGGCAGAACCACTGCAACGCCCATGATCAAAGCTCTGGGTTGAATGAAGCTAGGGCATGAAGCATTAAACAAGACCATACAAAGTACGCCCATGAACTGCGACTTCAAAGCCCCACACTGACTCTCGCAGTTGCGCAACTCCGGAAATCGGTAGCAAGATCCTCACGAGAGGCCCTTTCCTTCGGGGGCGAACCAGGGCTTTCGAGCTGAGACTTTGCAGCTCCTAACCCAAGGCTTTTGTTTAGGGTTTTTTTAGGGGTTTAGGGTTTAGGGTTTAGGGGTTTAGGGGTTTAGGGGTTTAGGGTGTTAGGGTTTTAGGGTTCGGGGTTTGCGATGCTTGCGGCTTGCTTCGGGTGTAAAGAGCGGGAGTGTTGCTCGGCTTTGTCATTTAATCTAGGGTCACAAGATGTGTGCTGCACAAGCAGCCCAGAGAATGGCCCGTCAGAGCAAGAGGAAAGACGTAGCCTTTTCATCCTTCCTTGCAAGGGGTTCAGGTGAGGGAATTGGCGAAAGCTGCGACAGTGCATCCGAGACAAGCCTCAAGAAATTTCTCGCATCTGTGGAACATTCGATGCTGCTGATGCAATATGCATCCTGAATGATGTGTATCTTGAGGCCTGGTATGCTCTCAAAAAGCTACAACCCCAACGCTTTCCCAAGGGATCCTATGTATGCTTGCTTCAGTCCCAGGCACGGCCACGGCCAAGTCACCTCGTCGCTGGTCCACCTCTTCCAACAAAACTGCTTTCAGGAACAGTTGGATATCGGCAGCACGCACAATCTCAATTCTGGGCTTTGCACCTTGCACCTACCAGAACTGTCGGAATGCCACGGCCAAAGTGAAACACTGGACCCACGCCCTGGAAGCTGCACAAGCGAAGGAGATCCCTCGAATGGCCGGAATATGCAGAATGTTGGGCGCGTCTCATCCGAGAGCTCCAGTACGCACACGTTTGCAAGACCAGCCTTCCTCCCATCTGGTGGCAGGTGAGGTGGCAGACCTCGGAAGAAGCATTGCTCAAAAAGGCCTGCACCGAAGGCCTCCCGACCCGTCCAATGAGAGGGTCACTCAGCTGCTGAGACGGTGTGCTAAGACTCCTGCTGGGACGCCTTTCTCCGGCTCGCCCTCCTCAACATGTTCGGTGCCTCGGCATGCAGAATCAAGCCACATGACGAGTGCTTTTGCACCTCCGCTTGGCACCAGGTCCACTCGTCAAGGAAGAGCACAAGAAAACGCGACTACATGTGACGCAACTCTTGAGAACACCGTCAACTTCAACGAAACAGAATCCCGATGCATAAACGCTGAACCGTACCCTGCTTCACCTTGAAGCTTCCCCGTGCAGAATTAAGTTGAGGCCCCCAGCTGACCGTGTCGGCTGGCCTCTCGAAGGGCGGGCCTCATTTATCTCGGAGCTGATCGACGAACCATATGCACTAGTCAGAACTGTCGTGCTGAGTCGTGTTGGTGACTTACGCCCAGCTCTCTTGCGGCGAGCCTCGACCTTGTGGATCCGCGGTCAGGCTCTACGGGCTCAGGCTTTCTTGGATAGAAGAGTCTGGCAGGCACTCAACCTGTACACTTCTTTCAGTGTTCATGGGTTTGAGTAATACACGGCCTAAAGCGAAAACCTCAGCCACGGTCAGCGCAGCATAGAGGGATTAGACGACCCCGCGCCCGTCTTTGGAGATATGCCACTGTGCAATCAACAACTCACCTGGCCCGGTAGCTTCACTCAAAAGTTTATCTCGAACCCCACTGGCGATCAGGCCGTGGTAAGGCGGGAAAGCCAATGCTGGACTCAATGCTGCCTCAGCTTCACTGTCAAGGGACAAAGCCAAGCTTTAGTTAAGACGAGGCACATCACAAGTAAAGACCATAGACTACCCTTCAAAACATGCGCTTCGCATCTCTTCTGCCCTGCTTATGGACATGACCTGGGCCCACCGCCTGCATCGCTGCGTTTGCTGCGAGGCCGCTCCTCGTCCGGATAACGTGAAGGCACTGGTTTGAATAGTCAAGGGGGTTTCCTGATTATAACTGTTTAACAGTTAGAATAGGGTTTTGGGGATTCCTTATTAAAATTATGGTATACTTATTATACCCCAAACCTCATTCTTAACAGTGGCGGAGTTCATGCTAGGAGTAGAATCTGAGTAGGGACAAGCAAACTAACCTCCCCCCCTCTCTGCTGCCGCTCCTCAGTCTGTAAGGAGGCTAGTGCTGCACAGGTGCCAAAATGAGTAGAATTACCCAAAACCCTTTTTGCAACAGGCTTTCCACTTAATTACCCAAAACCCAAAACCCTAAACCGGCCTTCTGGTCGCTTCATACAGCGCCTGCTCCGCCTCCACTGACAGCTTCGTCGCATTCCGCACCTCGCGGCGAGAACTTCAGTCTGGGCACAGGTTCTGCCCAGAGACTCCAAAACCCCTTAATTCAGGAATATACCTTAAATCTTATTTTAAATCTTATTTGGGTTCCTACTATTATTTAAGGTATACATTCCGTAATTAAGGGGTTTTGGAGTCTCTGGGTTATGCATGCTTGCTGGAAGCGCTGTTAAGGAAGCACAGCTTCTTGCACCGCAATCGCACCCGTGGTGACTGGGAGCTTGGGGGGGTGGCACCGGTCTGTTGACGATCTTTGTCATGAAGGCAAACAAAGACAGAGACACAGGAGTTACGAGTAGGGGATAGGTAGCGGCCGGTGGTTCGGAGGACAGGACGTGAACCACGTCTTCGAGGTGAAGCCTTCGAATAAAGCACTGGGATAACGGACTTGCAGCATTATGTATGTATATATATTTTTTATGTGTACATATATATATATATCTCTGTGTGTGCGCGAAGGTAGAGCACAGCACGTAACCCCTTCAGTGAACGATAGCCTACTGCAAAGTACAGGGTGAAGCCGGTTCACGGCTGCCCCACCTGCAAGCAGCACAGCCCTGGGAAGTCCGACATGTACTTAAATGCCAAACCAACAAAGAATGACAAGAAGTTGGCAAGTTGTCAAGCCTCAGACCGAAGCAGCCGACACTCCTTGGGCTGGCTATGGAGATACCGTTGCAATGTCAGCATCCGTTGGTGCCTGACCCAAGTTCATGCTCAGTGCCGGGCAGTGCCGGGGGCAGGGATTCGATTAGTTGAAAATCGGGCGATTTCGGGATTTCTGGATTGGGGCTCATGTGTGCTTCCAGTCCGTTGCGCTCTGAACGCGGGGAAGTGGAACTAGCGTGAAGATAGGGCCACATCACATCCGACTTCCGACAGTCTTCCTGCTTCACAACGCGACTTGCAAAACTTGCTCGTGATGATCTGCGCAACACACCAGTCACACATTGCAAATGCCTGACAGCACCGACACCTGAGAAGCGGTGAGGCCTCTCTGCCCGGGACATGCCAGAGTGTCTTGGAGGCAGATTTATAGGAGGACAGATCTTGTCGACCTGGTCCGGCGGTCTCGGGATGCGTAGGGTTTCGGGAAGACGGAGACATTCAAAAAGAAACTCTGCCGCTGGCTTCTGCTGACTACATTTTGCACGTGTTGCAAATGCCCTTTCCGACCTCCTTCATGAGCCAGGTGGTGGTGTCCACCACGCCTTCCATGCTGGCCTGCTCCAGAAAGCGAGAGAGATGAAGGGAAGGCTTCAGGAAGAGCAGCGCCCAAACCACCGGGTTTAACAGAGCGATCTGCTCTCAACTTCGCAGCTCGCACAACGCCAAGCTTTGCAGGCTCCATTTTCTTTCCTTTGGCGAAGGCGCCGCTGCGCAGGAAGCTGCCAACTTCCTTTACAGGGGTCACCACCGTTTTAATCCCCAGTCCCCACGAACTCCTAAACAGAAGCCCTGCTGGCACTGCTGCAAGCTTCGAGTGTCAAAGCGAGGCCCTGCCTGTTGCGGCAGTAGCCTCGCACGCTGCTCTTGACAAGCTTTCTGCAGATCCGGGTCCTGCTTGATGGCAGCTAAATGCGACGAGACAACATCATGTGGCTCCTTCTTGACACGAGGTGTCTTTTAATGCTTGCTTGCAAACGTAACACTCCATATGCAGCAACATCCTTGCTGCCCCAGAACTGCCTGCAGTTGTCGAAGCTCGCCCCTCCCCCCCCCTCCTCCCAGCACCCGGGCCGGGGGCCTTCTGAAGAGCTGGTGAGGCAAAGGTCAGGGCCATGACGTTGGCACGCATGGCGGAAAGCCTCTTGGCGGCGGCAAGATGCCAAGAGAACATAACAGAAGTGACCGCCTCAGCTCGTTTACCTTCCGCGCCGTCAGGTAGCATGAAATTCTTGTCGGCGAGCAGGTCCGGATCTGCGAACTCCAGCGCAAGGAAATCATCCTGCCAACGGCAGTTCGGCCGGGATTTCGATTATATGCAGATCAGGCACATGCAAACGGGTCACGCAATGGTGAAGTTGCTGTGGTGCCGTGCCGGAAAGACTTACAGTTGCTAGGAAGCACTCCGCGGTCTATAACAACCCTCCACCCATCCAGGACCTCGAAAACTGCTTCATACGATGCTTGCCACGGAACAAGTGCAAGCTGAGCAACCAGGTCCTGCACGGCAAGCCTCGGTTAGGCTTTCAGAACGAGCTGGTGCCCAGTGCCCAGCGCTAGCACATGCTGGCTTCTGGATGAGTACTTGCTGTGGCATGCTGCAGCAGCTAGCAGGGATCCATCAAAGCTGTGATTGCACAACTCAAATCATTACCATCAGCCGCTCAGCAACCTGACTAGGTCGGCATCGCCACGCAGCTCTGCAGGCGCAAATTGTAAAGCCTCTGGAACAAGGACTATGGAATCTTCCGGTCGAAGCAGATTCCGAGCAACGGCGAGGATCTTCAAGATGTAAGATGACTTTGCGATCCATGGACGTGATCAGCACACAGTCGCAAAGCGCATGACCCTTAACGATGTCTACAGACCGCAGGCCACAAGACAGCTCTGGGTCACAGACTTTGCCACAAAGCTGCACTGCAGCCTCCACGAATCTTCGGTCGGTCCTCGCCGCAAGCTTCAGGCTGCGAGTTTGTGGCGTGGGTGCCTGACTCGGGTTGTGCGCTTTCGGCTCTCTTGAGGATTGTGCTCGTGCTTGGCCTTTGACGATCGGCTCTCTAGCACTCTAGACTCCAGGCGCAAGGCCAAAACGGGTCAACTCGCTCCCAGTAGCACACAGCTCTCCCTTGCTTCGCTAGCCATGCTCTCGTTCCCTGGGCTTCCGGCAGCAAGCCCCTGGCCGCAAACCGCAGCGCCATACGGTTCTGGCGCACGGCAACAAGGACAACTTCCCGATCCGCCTGCAGGGATTCCGACATGCTTCGGTTTGGGCTCATGATGCCGGTGCAACATTGCATTGTTTTTTTGAACCCGGGCTCAAAACGTGCATCAGCTGGGAACCGGGACTACAATGGTTGTCGGCCCTATATAGACCTACAGTGACAACAGCACTGCTGGCGCCTGAATCATATCCTCGCTGTTCCCGAGAACTCCAGACGGCTAGCTCATGAATTGTCTTGGTCGGCCCCACGCCCACACCGAAAAAACAATTCCCGCTTGTGCAGGCCCCTCACTGTGCACAAGCAAAGTAGGGTTCCCCGGCCCCTGGATGGCCAAGGCCAAAGCATCCAGCCGACCGTTGCAACAGGGCTATAAACTACGTCTGGCACCTTGGAGTCGGAACCTAATTATCTAAAGAAATCATAATAAGGATCCCTAAAAAGGTAGGTTTTATAGGGCCCTCCCAAATGCGCCCGAAAGCACAGGATCTCAAAGGCGCACAGCAAACATTCCTGCCTGGAGCTGGCCATCAGCAAAGCGAAGCAGAGATCCGTCAGCAGACACCGCTTTCAAGATAATCTCCTGCATTCCAAACATGACCATCGTCCCAAAAACAGCTTTGAGGACCTGGGCCCCGGAATAAACTGTGCAGCGGAATGAAAGGTCATCACCCCCTGAAGACCCTCATTTTGCATACTCTTGACACCCTGTTGACACCTGAGAGCCTGAAGTCCACAAGCACAGCAGCAGCCCCCGTGGCCGCCTTGTCCCCGCGCACCGCATCGGACGCACTGGCCTCAGGATGCGGCGTGCAAAACGTGGGTATATCAATATCTGTATTCGATTTCGGTGCAGGATGCAAAGAGGGTGCTCCGCTTCCAAACGTCCCCAAAAAGCCCCATGCCCCCAAGCAGCCAGCCAACACAGATCTCCAGGATTCCCCCGAGTCAACCGCTTCCAGGATGCGCTCCTGATTCAACCGTTTGAGACCAGTGTGGAACATGCGGACTTGTGGAGGTTGCGTTTGGCACCAATGGGACTTGTGCGGCACCGTTGCGCGAGGACGTGCGCGGGCGACACCATGTCACGAAGCCGTGAATTGCTTGGGTTTTTAGCCGCTTCTCGGCTTTGTGGTTGACCCTTGGTTGTCTCCTAACTGACAAGGTGGATCGAGGAGGCCCCTATTCGGGGAATGCAGAAGTGTTCCCCCAAGTGGACAGGTGCGGACCCCGCCGAAACCACCCCTTCCAAACCATGACCGATAAACCCCCCTGTATGTCTCACTTGGGTCATCCACTCTGCAGTTTACAGCTGTGTGGACAGGGGGCAGGGTAGCACAAACCGCAACGCGAAGCAACAGCCTTGTTCAACAATAAGTTGGAGTATGCCTGATAATGTTTCGTCCCCGCCCCGGTATGCCGAATGAGCTCCACTCTTTCGGCTTGGTTGAAACTCTGTGTTGCACCCACCTTACCTGCCTCTCCACCTTATCCCGGACGGAAGCCTCGCACAACACTGCCTTCACCAACCCTGAACCTCTTCCCCAGCGTCCAGCACCACGCGACCATGACAGCAACAGCAAGCTTAAAGGGACACTTAATTAAGGCTTAGAAGCAGCGTTTGCTGGCCGCTAGGTCTGGGCAGGTGTGAGTTTCGTCCCCCGGCTCCCCGGCTGTGCCACGGGCCTAACAAGGCAAGACAAAGTAGCGTAGACACATAATGTTAGGAAGATTAAGCCTAAGCAGCACAGCAAAACGTCATCGTTGTCTAGGGAGCTCGGGCTCGTGAAGCCCCTGCGTCTACACAAAGGCCCTCCCCCTCTCCCTCTCCCCCTCTCTCCCTCTCCCCCTCTCTCCCTCTCCCTCTCCCCCTCTC